GCCACCCCTGACTTCTGTCCCTTGGGCCCAGGGCGACGGCGCTGGACCGCTACCGGCTGCAGAAGGCGGGTTTCACACACGTGCTGAACGCCGCCCACGGTCGCTGGAACGTAGACACCGGGCCTGACTACTACCGCGACATGGCCATCGAGTACCACGGCGTCGAGGCCGACGACCTGCCCACCTTCGACCTCAGCGTCTTCTTCTACTCGGCGGCCGCCTTCATCGACTCCGCGCTCCGGAACGACCACAGTAAGAGACCGCACGCAGCACCCCCACGGCCAGGCTCCAGGCCCAGGCTAGGTCTGGGCTAACCCTAGGCCCTGGCCCTCCCCGGCCCCGCCCCAGCCCCGCCCAGCGCCTCCCCGCACCGGCCAGACCCGGGTCCTGCACTTGCGCTGGCCGGAAATGGGATTTGCTCCGGCCACGCGCGGGTCCCTCCCAAAGCTGGCGCTCTGTAGTTGGGGTTGCTCATAGGAGAGATCTGAGCGACCGGAGGTTGTGAGGGCTGGAGCACCTGCCCCACCGCGAGCCCAGTCGGTGGGACTCTGGCCTTGACTGCGGCCCTGGAAAGGAGAATCAGGTGGTTGTTGGGTGGGTGTAGAGGAATGGCCTTTTGGTCTGAGTTTGTCATCTTTCCTAAGAAGCCTCCGCTATTCTTCAAAAGGTGGAAGCTGACTGCAGCTCAAAGCTGGGACTGCTGTCTAGACACTCATTGCAGCCAGGCCCACACCTGACGAATAGCCGAGAGTGTCGGATACCGGAATACCCTCAGAGAGCAGACTTGAATGGGAGTCTATGGAGAGACATTAAATTCTTCTGCCAGCCAACCAAGCCCACAGCCTCCCTCCCCTCCGGTCATTCACCGTGTAGTGAGGCCACCTATACAAGGTTGACCACCCAGACTGAGCCGTTTCCCAACACTAATCATCCATCATTTAAATCACTGTGCTAGTCCTTGCACTCAAAATGCAGCTTTTGTTGCTTTAATCCTGTAACCAGGACAAGGCTATTTTGGGGAGGACTGTACAGTTTAAGGTATGCATCCAGGGTAAGACAATATGCAGTTACTGCCTCAGGGTGTACTTCAGTGGCATTCCACAGAGGCCAGGGAGACTGCAGCTCCCTAATCTGTGTTCTGACGTCAGCCCATGTGTCATACCCCCTCTGTGGAGCCATCAGTTGGAGCCATCACGTAATTCAGGGTATCCAGTTACCGAAAGCCGCTTTTGCCCCAAGAAGTGGATGACAAACTCTCTGAGTGACCGACTGGCCTGCATTAGGAACTTTCAGCCTGGGGTGCAGCCTAAGCTAGGTCAGCCAGATAGTGCCAAATCTTGAGGGCCATCCCAAGGTGGCCCTAGGCCCACAGTCTGCCACAGCCACCAATAATTTGTCATTATTTTGGTTCAGAAAGCAATATGGCAATCAAAAACACCCACAGAGCCGAAGTGCTTATATGAAAGGATGCTTTACTTCTAAGTTGTCCTTTTATGAGCCTTTTTATGGCCCATCGTTTTGTTCTGCACACTCTGGGTTTCCAAACAGGATCAAAACAGCAACTGGATTCCAATTCATCACCATGAGGTAAAATTTGCCTCAAGTATTTGAAGTTAACTGAAAACATATTTGACATGAAAGAAACAAAACAAAACCAAAAAAAGCCCTACATTACCCAGTTGTTCGGTTTCTGTTTAATGTGCTCACTTGCCGTTACTGTATCTTAGGCCCTCCCTCCATGGAAGGAGCCTGACAGGCTTTGGAGAAGATAGGGCTGGGTTCAGAGTCCCATCCCACAACTTAGTAACAATGTGATTTCTCAGAACCTTAGTTTCCCCATCTGGTGATGAAAATATTGACCTTGAACGGTTATAATGAGGAGCAGCAGTAACCCGCATCAAGCACGCAGCAGAGAACCTGGTGCCCAGCAGGCTCTTGGGTGTGTTCGATAGAGAGGTCATGTCCCACGCAGCACATAACCAGCAGCACGTGCACATCATCATCGTGAAGTTTCCAGTCCCCAAAGAAACAAAGAAGAGGAAAAAAGACATTCCAACTTTGAACTAGTCTGATAAACTCAGGACAGCTTGTTTTAGGTTCTTGGCACGTCATTTTAGAGGCCGCCGTCTCTGCCAGATCAGGAAAGGATCGGTCGCTTGGTTCAGATGTTTAGGCTGGGCAGATCACAGAGCACCCAGGTGGAGGCGTCAGGCTGGTGTGGTTCGTAACTGCTAGACCAGGAGGGCAAAAGCGTCTCCTGAAGAAAAGGTCAAGAGGAAAGAAAATATACACTGGCCAGAGAATCTACAGGGGAATAGAATGGATGGGGGTGTGGGGACTGGACCCCACGATTGGGGACAGGGTCACGTTGCTAGGCAGGAGGCTGGGCTCCGTACTCAGTGCTCTTTGCACTTACACAGTTCAAGGCTGCCTCAAGTCTGGGGCTCAAGCAGCAACCCTTCAGGACCAGACAGAGGGTAAACAAATGAAACTGGCTGCATGTAAGGGAGAGGGGTGCGGGCAGGGGGTATTTGTGGCTAAGCAGAGTCCCATGTCCCCTTTAAAGGGAGCAGTCCCAGTTAATATTTATCTTTTTTTTTTTTTTTGAGAGGTTTTTGCTAAAGGGTGCATGCGCTCTCCAGAAAGACAGAGAGACAGAGAGACAGAAAGTGAGAAATCACGCCCCAGGGGGAATGGCCAGGCCACAATCCCTTCTCCATTCTCCTCTCAGGATCTTGGGCATGCACGCACATGTGCCCGGCATGAGTTTAAGCCACTGGGTCCGGGACTCGAACTGCTGCTGACTACATGGGAGTCCAGCGACATAGCCATTACGCTAACTGCTTGCTGATCTTAAAAGAATTAGTACAAATGTGGTAGATCTTCTGACCATTCAGGAAGAGCCTCCAGTCTGAATTTTACTGTAAAATTTCCCTCTATTTATTTATTTATTTATTTAAAATGTTTGCTTGTTTTATTTGTCATGATATTTTAAGATGCCAGGTCCAGGACTCAAATTGTGGTCAGCCATGTGGGAATCCAGTGCCTTAACTACCATGCCACCTGCTA